CAGCGTGGAGTGGTTCACCCAGAACGCCTGGCAGAACACCTACCTCAAGCCCTTTGTGGAGCACCGCGAGCGCTCCGCTGAGCTGGAGGCGGCCGCCGCCATGTGCGCGCTCGCCCGCCGCCGCCGCCGCCGCCGCCGCCGCCGCCGCCAGGCCGCCTTTCTTCAGGGGCGGCCCTGTGTTCCTGCCTCGTGCCGCGCCCTGCATGGCCGCATGTCGGGCTGCATGGCGTGCCGGCACGCGCACACACGCGCACACACACACCATGCCCACACACACACACATGCCCGTGCCTCCTGCGCCCCCTGGCTGCAGGTATGACGCCGAGATGCGCAGCCTCATCCAGCAGCGCAGCGCCTGGCAGCGCTTTGAGGCGGCCAAGGGATCGGGTGCGGGGCCGGGGCGGTGCGGGGCAGCAGTGTTGGTTGTGGGCCGCTGCCGGCCTGCCTGCCTGCTTCGCAGCCTGCCGGCCGGCCGGCCATCCAGCCACGCGTTTCTGCCGCTCCTGCCGCCGCCACTGGCGCCATCGCGCTCTCTGCTGGCCGTCCTGGCCGCTCCCCGGCCTCCCTGCGCCGCGCACACACCCACGCAGCAACCTCACGCAGCAGCCTCGCCCGTGCCTGCAGACATTGCCATCCCGGGCCTCATGCCTGGCCAGATCGCGTCGCCGGTGCGCCTGGGCCGCGCCCGCCAGGGCATCTTCTCCCCGCTGCTGCCCGAGCTGGCGGGGCTGGATGCGGAGCGCATCGTGCAGGTGCGGTACTGCCTGGTACCGTGTACGATACTGCATGTACCGCCGCGCGGGCGTGCCGCCTGCCCCGCGCCTGTGCCGCGCCGCCGGGCGCGCTGCAGCCCTGCTGCGCTGGGTAGAGGCGCCACGGGCCTGCCGCGCTGCCTGCGGCGGCCAGCACCACGCTCACCACACTCACCACACACAGCACCACACTCACCCGCCTCCGTCCCGCCTCCCTCCCGCCTCCCCGCAGCTCTCCGCGGGCCGGCTGATGAGCGCCGCCGTGACGGCCGGCGGCGAGGTGTGGACGTTTGGCGGCGGCCAGGGCGGCGCCGGGGCGGCGGCCGGCGGCGCCGGCCTGTCGTCGGGGCCGCGCCCGGTGGACGGCGTTCTTGCTCAAGTGATCCGCGACAACGGCGGCGTGGTCAAGGTGGCAGCCGGCGGCGCCTTTTGCGTGGCCCTGACCCGCTCGGGGCGCGTGGTGCTGTGGGGCGCGCCCGGCAGCGGAGAGTCGGCGGCGAGCGCGGCCGCGGCCGCGGCCGCGGCAACCGCAGCCGCAGCCGCCGCGCTGCCGCAGCGGCAGAATGGCCGGCGGCGGCGCCCCACCGCGCGGCCGGGGCCGGCAGCTCCACCGCAGCCGCAGCCACAGCCGCAGCTGCAGCAGCAGCAGCAGCCGGCGGCTGCGGTGGAGCAGGAGGAAGTCCCCAACTTGCGGCTGCGGCGGCAGGCGGGCCTGCTGGTGGCAGAGGTGGTGGACCTGCCAGCGATGCGTGACGTGGCGGCCGGCTTCTCCCACATCGCCATGACCGACGGCGCCAGCGTGTGGACCATCGGCCGCCACACCCCCGCCACCGGCGCCGGCGCGCCAGACCCGCTGTGGCTGCGCCCGCGCCGGGTCATGCACCGGCCCGACGACGGCGTGGCCAGCCTGGCGGCGGGCGCCTTCTCCACCGCCGCCGTCACAGGCGCGGGGGAGCTCTACCTGTGGGGCACGCTGCTGACAGAGGATGCATCTGCCGCGCTCCTTAAGAAGTCAGGTGGGGGCATGAGGAGGGCTGGGGGGAGGGCAGGGGAGATGGAGGAGCGCTGGGGGGAGGGCTGGGAGAGTGACGCATGCAGGAAGCTTTGGCAGGAGCGCGGCAGCCTTGGGAGGCGCATGCTTGCCCGGCCGCCAGCCCGCGTGCCCTGCCCTGCTCTCACCCGCCCGCCTGCCTGCGCCCGTGCGCCTGCAGAGGAGGAGGTTCTGGGCCACTGGGCATACAGCGGTACCGCTGACGTGGCGGCCACGCAGTGGAGCGGGTGGGAGGGGCTGGGCGGCGCCGAGCCGCGCCGCGTGCCGGGCCTGCACCAGGTGCAGCATGTGTCGCTGGGCACCCACCACGCGCTGGCCGTGGTTGCATGAGTCGGTTTATTGAATCGGTTGGATCGAGCGGCCCTGAGGCCTCTGGCTCTCAGGCATCGGTGGCCTGGCTGGCAGGCAGCGGCTGGCTGGCTGGCGTGGGGTGCCCATGCACCTCCTCCTGCCCCTGCCCTGTACTTTACCTCGGTCTGCCGCGCCGCCCGGCCCATGCCCGCGGCCTCAGCGTTTTTGCTGCCCCTCGTTTCATTCCTGCGCCGCCCCCAGGCGGGCAGGCATGCTGTACACTACACTACCCCAGTATGCTGCCTTCTCTTCCTCCTAATGAAACCCAACGTTCTCCTGTAAAGCTGGCGTTTGGAGGTAGTTACCACCAGCTGGGACAAGGGATCAGGGCATCGCATGGGGTGGGCTACGGCAGCTGCTTGCGCTGGCAGGCGAGCTGCTCCACAGGAGGCAGCCGTGCGTAGTGACAGATCTGCCTAAGGGAGGTGCTGGGAGGGGCGCTTCCTGCAGGCCGCTCGGGCCTGCATGAAATGATGGCAAGGGGTTTGGGCCAACACGTCGTGGGGGTGGCGGGTGGCCGGCGTGCCGCTCGCTGCCAGTGGCAAGAGGCTCACGTGATCGGTGCTGTCCCGAGGTCGCGAGCCCGAATGCGCTTGCCCAGCAGGATCAGCAGGGCTGTGCCCCGCACTGCGGCGCCCCAGCGGGAAGGTGGCATGTCTCACATGTGCCAGTCCTCGAGGATGGGGAGGGGGCATGGGGGATCCCCCGTGGGACTTTTGTATGCGCTTTCTGTGCCCGCTGCGCCGCCGGAAGGGTCACAGGCTCGCCGACAGGCTCGAAGCACAGCAGGCACAGCTGGCGGGAGGCCACCGATGAACAAGAAGGCCGGGCATGTCTCCAAACCGCCCCTGCTATTCTATTCTTGGTAACACGATCCCCTGCGCAGCTAGCCAGCCCCGTTTTGCCTGCCATGTCATGCTGATCGCCCGCCCTGAGCTTTGCCAGCAATGGAGCGCAGCGTGAAGCAGCTCAAGGGATCGTACCATGAGCGCCGGCGGGCGGCGGCGCTGGAAAAGCAGAAGACAGCCCGCAAGCAGGCCACAGACAGGGCCAGGAAGCTGGCGCTGGGCACGGCAGACGCGGAGGATAGCCAGGATGGCGAGCAGCAGGTGAACGGGAGGCTGGCGGGCGGTGCTGGGAAGCCGCCGCTCTTGACCGCCGCCAGCCGCCACCACCTTGCCACTCTGCTGAGCAGCCGTTGCTGCGAAGCCTGCCTGGCCTGCCTGCAGCTTCGAGATGACGAGGTGCTGGAAGACACCAGCGCCGCCGCCGCCTCCCCAGAGGTCGACATGCAGAGCGGCAGCAGCCGGCGGGCCAGCGGCGGCGGCGGCGGGCGGTCGCCTGGCGGCGGCGCCCGCCTGCGGCAGCACTATGCCGCCCAGCTGATGCAGCCCGAGTGGCTCGTGGACGTCCCGCCTGACCTAGCAACCGACTGGTGAGCCGGTTTGCTGCGTGGTTTGCTGCCTGTGGCCCTGCTGGCAAAGCGCCGCGATTGCACTCGGGCCTGCCGCATCGGCAGCAACCGCTCCCCTGCCTCTATCACCTCATCACTAACCCATCTCTACTACCGCCCACGCGTGCAGGTATGCGCTACCACGGCCCGAGGGGCAGCGCTGCCTGGTGATCGCGGCGCGGGGCGCCACTTCCGCCCGCCTCCGCAACGGCGCGCTGCTGGAGCGCTTTGCCTCGCTGCTGCCAGGGGGCGGCCCCGGGCAGCGCAGCGGCGAGGACAGCTTCAGCATCCTTGATTGCGTGTACCACGCGCCAAACCAGACCTATTATGTGTTAGGTACATAGTGTCCAGCTGGCGGCTGTCGCGCTTGCGGCTGGCTTGTTTCTTTCGATGCAGGCCGCGGCGGCTGGCCTGCTGCCGGGACAGCCAGCCCCGCCTGCCGCGGCGCTGTGCCTCTGCTGCTCGGGGCTCCTGTTGGCCCCCTCGGCCGAGCCAACCAACCAACCAAACCAACCAAACCAACCAACCCAACCAGGCTGGCTGCGCTGCGCTGCCTGCAGACCTGATGTGCTGGAAGGGGTACAGCCTGTACTGCTGCTCGGCAGAGTTCCGCCTGTTCTGGGTGCAGAGCAAGCTTGAGGAGAGCGGCGCCACGGCAGCGCACCCCGTCAGCCTCGCCACGCAGCAGCAGCAGCAGCAGCAGCAGCAGCAGCAGCAGACGCGGCGCTTCCTGCCGCTGCCGGCCTACCGGTGCACGCCCGGCGGGCTGCAGATGGCGCACAGCCAGCCCGTGAGGTGAGCCGGGCGCAGGCGGCTGGGGTGTGCAGGCCAGCGGTGGCCCTGCCTTGTGTGGGCATGATCTGTCTGCATCCCACGCCGGCCTTGTCCTGCCTTTCTGAGCCTGCCCTTCAAACCACCCACACCCAACGCACCCACCGCCGCCAACTGCCAGCACATCGCCGCCGCCCCGCCCCACCTTCCACGCAGCTTCTGCCGGGACGGGCTGCTGCTGCTGCACAAGGAGGCGCAGTACAGCCCGGGCGGTACGCCGCTGGCACTGCTGTGGAAGGACGCCGTCAGCAGCCGATACTTCATTGACACCGATGCGGCAGGTGGGTGGGGTTGTTTGGTGGGGTATCCGGGGCGCCCCGCTTGCTTGCCCGTGCGTGCGGCTGGAAACGGGGAGGCCCTGGGCTGCCGCCCACCCTTGGTGCCGCCGGGCTGCCGGCCGCCGTGGGGGGGGGGGGGGTCAGATGCCTTTTTTCAAGAAGAACGTTAACTTGGTAGTCTTTGTAACTTTGTAACCTTCGTCTGCAGGCGTGCCGCTGGCGCAGCAGCAGGTGGTGCTGGAGTTCCGCATGGACCGCACGGTGGCCACCCACGACGACACACCCGTGGTGCTGGGCCGCATGCCGGAGAGCTTCGTGCAGCAGCTGGGGTGAGGAGGGCCCGGGCCGCGCCGGGCGGCGCCAGTGCTGCGCCGTGCTGCGCCGTGCTGCGACGTTGTGCTGCCGTGGCGCAGGCGGCATGCGCCTTGGGGCTGCCGGCTGGATGCATGCGGCGAGGGCTGCGGCACTGTTGTGATCAAGTAGTGGGGCCGCGTATGCATGTGCATGTGTGTGCATGCTGCCTATGTGACTGTCCCTGCGCCGCACTCCTGCCGCTCCTTGCCGCAGCGACCGCCTGCGGCCCGGCAAGCTGATGAAGTTTGGGATCGGGCCCGGCGGCATCGCGTTCCAGGATGGGCAGCCGGTGAGGAGGGCCCTGCCTGGAACGCTGCAGCCATGCTGCCAGCTCAGCGCCTGGCCTGCCGCTTGGTGGGTCCCCCCACCACACCACACGCAGCACTCAACGTACATGCACACGCCCAGCCCACACCTGTCGGGCCACCTGCCACCCCGGCACCTCCGCTGCTATGCCAACCTGCCCTGTCCTAAACCCTAAACCCTTTCAGGTGGGGGCAGACCTGCACTTCACCGGCCCCGCCAACCAGCGCCGCGGCCGCGCTGACAGCATCAGCAAGATCCTGTTCCAGCACCTGGCCCGCACCCAGCCCATCACCCTGCAGCAGCTGCAAGCGGCGGCCGCGGCCAGCGAAGCAGCGGCAGCAGCAGCTGCAGCAGCAGCAGCGGCAGCGGCGGCAGCGGCAGGAGGAGGAGCAGGCGGCGGCGGCGGGGTGGGCGACAAGATGGGCAGCGGCGACAGCAGCAGCCTGCTGGGGGGCGGAGGGCGCAGCATGAGCTTGCCGTCGGAGGCGGCGGGCGGCAGCGTGGCGATGGAGGCCGGGGAGACGGATGGGATTGAGGTAGACAGCTGACAGGGGCGGCCGAGAGCGCTGTGGTCGGCTTGGCGGGGGTGGTCAGCACGCGGTTGCTTACCATGCGTGCATGCTGTCCCCGCTCATCCCAGCCGCACGCGAACCGTGCCGCCCCTCCATGCCTCCCATTTCCCAGGGCCGCGCCCGTAACAGCTGGCCCGCTGACGCTTTCTCGGCGCTGTTGGTGTGGAGCAAGGAGGTTACACAGCGGGGTTGCTCTTTCATTGTGCAAGGGGAGGTGGGAGGCTCAGACAAAGGGTTCAGACCCTGCACACGCGCGAGCGCCGCAACCTCGCGCCCGGCTGCGCAGGGCAGGGCGGCACACACGCCGCCCCATTAGGCACAGCCGCCGGTCGGTAGGCAAGCAGGATGGCCGCGGCAGCACAGGACCAAAAACAAGCAGACAGAACAGAGCTCCCCAAGGGCCCGGCAGGCAGCTATGGGGCGTCGGTGGCGCCGTGAGGGGTGCCGTGAGGGGTGCCCAGCCGCAGCCGAGGCTCATTCATAGGTGGGGCTGCTGCGGGGCCCCGACTGGCGGTCCAAGGGCGGCCCCCGCACGCCGCGCCCGCCGTACGGCCCCCGCCCGCCCCGCCCCCGCCCGCCGTCGTAGCCGCCACGACCGCCACGACCGCCGTCGTACGGACCCCGCCCGCCGCTGCGGCCGCCGCCGGGCGGCCCGTCGAAGCGGCCGCCGGTGTGGCGGTGCTGGTCGCGAGCCCTGTCGGGGCCGGGCCCGCCGCCGCCGCCGTAGCCGCCCGCTGGGGGGCCGCCCCAGCCGCCGCCGCCGCCAGCCGGCGGGCCGCGCCGCCCATCCTGCAGCCCAGATCAGGCAGGCAGGGCCCCTCAGCTGCCTGCCTGGAGCTCCCACCCATGCCCAGCTTCTCGCCAGCCCCCGCTGCCATCCAAACCAGGCACCCTGCCTCCAAAATGCACCCCAAAACAACCCGTTCCACCTCAGCCGTACCAGCGCAGTACCATGCTGTACCGCACCTCCTGGTACTTCTTCATGCACCCGATGAGGTAGGCGGTGACGCTGCGCATGCCGCGCGGGTCGTTGCCGCCGAACTCATCCAGCCCCCGCACCGCGTTCGCCTCCCCCATTTTCTGCGGCACAACACGCGCCAGGCAGCAGAGGGTGAGGCATGCGCGCGGGTGTGGGTGTTCAGGAAACCCAAGGAGGGACCGAAGCCACACACACAAAACAACCTGTCCAGTCCAAGGGCTGCCAGACGCCCACGGGGGCCGAGGCGGGACAGGGTCGGCTGGCAGGCTGGCAGGCTGGCGGCATGCCTGGCACCACCCACCACAGCTGCATCAGACCCACCCACCCACACACACACCACAGCTGCATCACGCATACACCCAC